TGAACTTTATCCCAACCCATTCATTCCCTCACTTTCACCCTTCCAGGTCTCTCCCCACCCCACGGGTGGGGCTCAGCTGCCCTTTGGGGTGAAATCACAAAATTTTGGTTCAGCCCAGCTTAAATTGGGAGTTTTTACATGTTGGATTTTAGAAATTCAACCACCACCCTTTACATTTACATAATTCAGATTAGCTAAGCTTTGCCTAGTGAGTCAAACTGGCTCCACAGAGCCAAGGAGAGGCCTCTCCTCCTCAAGACATTTAAAATGCAATTTTTGAGCAGATCTGCAGCCCAGAGTCAGCATCAGGGTTGGTGAGGATAACAGACAAAGAAATAAATCTGCTGCAGAATTTTGGGCAGGGAATTTTGCTTTTAAGGGCCTCTCCCAGCCAGCTGGGATCACTCCAGATCCCTCAGGATCACTGAGGACATGGGCAGGACACTCCAAGCAAAAAGAAAATCACCACCCATGGATCAGGGAGTGAGGCAAGCACCGAAAAAATTGAAAAGTCCTGAACAAAACTGAAAAATTTTGTTGCAAATTCATCCCCAAAGCCACCCCAGAGCTCTGCAAGGACGGGCATTAAACTGGAAATGCTGAGGTGAGGGGTGACAGCACATCCATCACCAGCCAGGCTTGTTTCTGAGAGGTTCCTTGATGAAAAAAAAAAAAAAATTATTAATTTTAATATTAATAATTAATAATCCCAAGTGCTGGATTCCACGCTAAACATTTTGCTTTGAGCTACCTGGAAATGTCCAAACCTTAAAGTCAGGCCTTGCAGATGGGAGCAAGAAAAAGCAGTTTAAACTCCTGGGAACAATGGCACAAATGGGAGGGAAAGCAGGGGCTGGGATTTTGGGATTATTTTGGGATTTTTTGGGGGATTTTTTTTTTAGGGATTACCTGGGCACAGGTGGAGGTGGGGCTGCCCCACGGCCCCGCCCCAGGACCCCTCGGCCACGGTTGGGCTCTGGGACCCCGTTGAGATAAGAGAGCTCCAGGAACTGCTCCTGGCAGATGTCATCCATCATGTCCTGGGAAAAGGACACACACAGGGGGGAGAAAAAAAAGGACACAGAAAGAGTCAGCTGCAGAAAACTGGAGGTTGTGATTAAATGAAATTAAAAAAAAAAAAAAGGAATTAAATTAAATTAAAAGGAAAATAAAAAGGACCAGGAGACTCAGAGGATTCCTGCTCCAAATTGTTTAATTTGGGAATTTTTTTAATCATTAAAATAAAATAAAACACACACTGCTGAGGGATTCCACACATTGACCAGCTCAGCTCTGCAAAAACCTCATGTACTGCAATTAAATTAAATTTAAAAAAATCAAATTAAATGAAAATTAAAAAGGATCAGGATCCCTGCTCCAAATTGTTTAATCTAGAAATTATCATTAAAATAAAATAAAAACTTTCCTGAAGGATTCCACAAAGCTGCCACACACCGACCAACTCAGCTCTGCACGAGGCGGAAAATCCATTAAATTAAATTGAAAAAAAATGAAATTAAATTAAATTTAAATGAAAATTAAAAAGGATCAGGATCTCTGCTTCAGATTGTTTAATCTGGGAATTAATATTAAAATAAAATAAAAAAAACCTTCCTGATGGATTCCACACACTGAACAACTCAGCTCTGCACGCGGCGGAAAATCCCATGCACTGCCATTAAATTAAATTTAAAA